AATCTTCCGTGTAAACCAACCAGCAACGAAATCAACTACCTCGGTTGGTCGGAATTTCGTGTGTGACTAAGGAGGGGCCGGAATTTGGTGTGTGGGTTAGGGAGGTGGTCGGAATTAGGTGGTGGTTAGGGTTTTAGGAGTGCGAAATTTGGTGGTGGCTAGGGTTTTTAGAGTGGTCGGAATTAGAAGGGGATTTATGGGTGGTCGGGATTTGGTGGCTGCCAAAAACTAAGAAGCCAAATCACCAACAACAAGGATACAAATCGATTATCATCAACATTTCTACAAACCAAAGCAATTAATCCATTACAATACCCACAAATCGAAACCTCAAAACCAGAAAAAGAATTAGGTAAATCAAACCTTGTCTGATTAAATGGAGTCGATTCCAGGTGACTTCCATGGTTGAGGATAAGAAGACGACGGTCAGAGGAGAGAGAATGAGCGAGATGAAGTCTGATTAAATGGGTGTTGTTGATTGATTAAGGAATGCCAAGCCTTGGAAACGCATTTGAAGCGAAGTAGTGATTTAGTGGGTAATCGAAAAGAATGGAGGTGATTAACTCCATTGGAAGAGACGCCATTGTTGTGGCTTTCGAGAAAACAGAGCAAAAAAATAAATAAAAATTGGTGGAAAGGTGGTTGTGGCTGTTTGGTGCGGTGGTGGGGCTGGTCGTAGCGGTTAGGTGGTGGGGGCTGGTCGTAGCGGTTAGGTGGTGGGGGCTGGTCGTGGCTGGTCGGCGGTGGGGGTCCTGACGGTGGCAGCAACACCGGTTGATTAATGGGATTTTTTTAATTTTTTTTAAAACTTACCCAATAATATGGCGACACGTGTGCAAGGTAGGCCCCACTAACGGATTTATGGACGGAATCCGTTAGTTGGAGGTGATTGGTGGTAAAACTGATGTTTTATTTTTTTATGAGGTGGTAAAGTAAATCTTTTTTTTTTGGAGGTGGTAAATTCGACAAAGTCATTATTTGAAGGTGGTAAAAATGAAAATACCCTTAAATATATTATAAATGGATCTATTTTTAAAGAACTTTTTAAAATGAATTTTATGATGGAAATAAAACCAAGTTACATGATATTTATTAAAAGTTATGTTTAATTTTGTATATATGATATATTAGAAGTATAGTGATAATAAACTCTATACAACATTTTTATCTTTAAAAATCTATCTAAAAATCGCTTACTTAGCATCATATGTGTCACAATAATACCTATTTATCGCATACGTAGCTAGACACTTGGCAAAAAAACTGGAATGCCAAGTGTCTCTGTCTCGTGGCCTGGCTACGAGACTGGCTTTATTTATTAGTGACTAGTTTTGTGCTGGGGCGATGCCCAGATGGTTGATAAAAGTTTAAGAAAACATTTAAATGTTAAATACGGTCAAATATATTTAGACATAGGATATCATATGAAGTGTACTTTGTATAGTTTTGTTTGTAAATAGATACCTATGTTATTATTGACTTGAAATTATTTTTATTGAATTTAAATTATTTTCACTGAACTAAAAGTATTTTTACCAAACTAAAGTTATTTTTACTGATTAAAACTTATTTTACTGATTATCTAATTTTTTTTAAAATAAATTAAATAACAATGCATTTTATATGCGGCTAACCACACCATGTGGCCAGACAAAGTAACCCCTATAAAACTGATCGAGTAACCCCGTAATACTAATTGAGTAACCTCTAACACTGACTAAGTAACTCCTATTTATAACACTGATTGAGTAACCATTATAACACTGACCAGGTAACCCCTATAACACTAACGAAGTAACTCTGATCTTGTAATAGTTGTTGGTGACACGATTTGATAAGCTTCGTATAAAAGTTTGTGATTAAATATATTATAAATGGATCTTATTTTACAAAACTTTTTAAAACGAATTTAATGATGGAAATAGAATTGAGTTATAGGATATTTATTAAAAGTTATGCTTAATTTTGTATATATAAAATATTAGAATTTTATCGATAATAAAACTCTATGCAACAATTTTATCTTATAAAATCTATCCAAAAATCGCTTACTTAGCATCATATGTGTCACAATAATATCTATTTGCCGCCTATGTGGCGCGACACTTGGTGAAAAACTGGAATGCCAAGTGTTGCTGACTCGTGGCCTGGCTGCTAGACCGGCTTTATATACTAGTGACTAGTACGTGCCCCACGCGTTGCCCCGGATATCCATTTTAGAAAGTGTACTTATTTGTGGGCATGTTTTGTATTATTATTTATTATTGTTGTTGTTGTTGTTCCTATTATTATTACTATTATTATTATTATAATTATTATTATTACTACTACTACTACTACATTATTATTATTATTATTATTATTATTATTATTATTATTATTATTATATTATTATTATTATTAGTAGTAGTAGTAGTAGTAGTAGTATTTAAATTTTTTTTTTAAATGTTAGATACAAAAAGAGAGTAGGAACACTACCCTATTACTTTTTTTTCACGTTTGTTATAATTTTCTGTTTTTGTAAGTCGCACTATATTCACTTGGTCTACTATGACCAATGTTTGTGAAGTATACACAAGAAAAGACAAATGTAATTAAGATATTGTTTATCAAAATTCTATGTTGACATATGTGCTAAATTTCAATGAGACGCTAAAAAAATAAAGGGAGTATAATTTTGTGAAAAGAAGAGTGCGTCGGTAAAAAAATAATAAAATAAATAAAAAGTTAAAAGTAATTTTTTTAAAATAGTAAAATCAACATATTATATTATTGGCCTAAGTGGATCATTTGTAATATATGGCTAGTAAATGGACTACGAAGGCTCTGTAAAAGAATGAAAGTAATTTTTTTTTGTTTTTTGTGTGAAAAGAATATTATCAAATAAAATGAAATTAAAGTAGAGTACTTCTTTCATTTTTCTTGTTCAGTCACTTTGGTCTAATGGTTTCAGCCTTTATCTTTCATTTATTTTTCTTACCTTCTTGTATATTATATACCCTCAATCAACCTCATTTGTTCTTAAGTCCAATTCCCATAAACTGATGATTGTTCCTCTTTGGGTTTAATACTTCCTACAATCTAGTGATCTTTACTTTTAAAATCCAGTCTTGTTTGTCGTTATTGATTTCTAAATCCTTGATCAAATATAGTTTACTTGTTCATGTGATGTTCTTGCCTGTGAATGGTTAGAACATAATTTTGTAAATATAAATTGAGAAATTTTAGTTAGCATAAAAAGAAAACGGAAACTAATTGTAATATTAAATTAGTTGTACCTTTAACCGTTTATTGCTTCCATTCTTCTTAAAATAAGATGAAAAAAAAAAATAATATGATTAGCATAAAAAAAAATGAAATGCTTTTCTAAGTGAAAAATCCGTAAAGTTCTAAGACCTTGCTAACATTAATCTAAATTCATTTCAAAATTCTCTTGTATTTTACAGTTCCTGTTGTTTTCTAATTTTAATAATTTAGATTTTTAACTTCTTTAATTTCATTAACAAAATAAAAAACATACACAAAAATATTACAACCGAATATGAAGAATACCTTATTCAAAAGCTTTTAATGGTAAATCAATGGTAGACTAAAAAAATTATACATGGCCATATCTACAATTATAATTATGTGGTTATTCGTATAGGAGTAAAATTCTATTGTTAATTGGATATTCATATTAATTATAATATGTAGTGTGTTGCTATAAATAAAATTCTATTGTCAATAAAAAGATAAATTTTTTTCAAAAGAATTATAAATTATTTTATGCATACTTTTTTTTATCCTAAACAAATCTATCCAATTTAATATAAAGTGGTATCTAATCTAATCACAATAATATCTATTTGTCGCTTATGTGGCTCGACACTTGGCGAAAAATTGGAATGCCAAGTGTCGTTGTCTCGTGGCTTGACTGCGAGACCAGTTTTATTAGTAATGTGATGTGAAGTGATGTGATATGATATGATATGATATGAGCATATAATCCTTTTTGATAATGCAAGATATTTAGACATACAATATCATATAATAGTGCACTTTTTGTAGTTTTGTTTGTAAATAGATATTTATGTTATTAATTTATTATTGACTTGAAACTATTGTTAGTGATTTTAAATTATTTTTACTGAATCGATAGTATTTTTACCTAACCAAAATTGTTTTTATTGATTAAAACTTATTTTTACCGATTCTCTATTTTTTAAACTAAATTAAATATATTATAAATGTATCTTGTTTTAAAGAACTTTTTGAAAGAAATTTTATGGTGGAAATAAAACTGAGTTATACGATATTTATTAAAAGTTATGATTAATTTTGTATATATGAAATATTAGAAGTATAGTGATAATAAAACTCTATACAATATTTTTTATCTTAAAATAATCTATCCAAGAATCACTTACTTAACAACATATGTGTCACAATAATACATATTTGTTGCCTATGTGGCGCGGCACTTGGCGAAAAAATGGAATGCCAAGTGTTGTCGGCTCGTGGCCTGGATACGAGATCGACTTTATTTATTAATGATATGATATGATATAACTCAAAATATGTATTTAACTTTTTAAGATAAAGTGTTTTTTTTATATAACAATTGAATAACGAAGTAAACTAATAATTTTAAGATACTAAATATTGGATAATATTTTTTGATGATCAATAATATTTGTAAAAAATATATTTTTTAAATAGTATGAATATTGAAGTATATGTAACTAATTTAATTTATATTTCATCATATAACTTTTATTATAAAAGCTCATTTTCAATAATGTACATATAAAATCTAGGATATTGTCTGGGCCAAGAACTAGTTTTTGTTATATAAGTTAAATAAGGCCTTATATAATATAATCTAAGGACGGAGAAATAAAATCTACGGAGTACTTGGTAATTTGGTATTCGTAAGTCGGTTAATGGAGAACGATAATATCACGACAAAAAGTCGTACACATAAAGATCCAAAGCAAGTCTTTATAGGTGAGCGTGACTGCTTCCATAACCTTCTACCTGCTTTCCCCCCCTTTTCTCATTTTCTCTATCTTATCCCATTTATTTATCAGATTTCATTGGATTTCATTGACAATTACAAAGATACACTGCCCAATTAGGCTTGATTTTCTAACACCCAAATCCTACATTTTCTAGCCTTTTTCATGCTCTAATCAAAATACCACCTAAAAAACCCACAAAAATCATGCCAAATTCTCCCTCAAATCATCACACAAACCCAGAAAATCCCCAAATTCCAAACACCGAGAAGCGTCTCTGTGATTTTTGCACAGAATCAGTAGCACTAATCTACTGCAGAGCAGATTCTGCAAAGCTATGTTTATCTTGTGACAGAGAAGTTCATTCAACCAACCAACTATTCACAAAACATACTCGATTTCAGCTTTGTGATGCTTGTGATTCATCCCCTGCATCAATTTTCTGTCATACTGAACATTCTGTGTTGTGTCAGAACTGTGATTTTGAGCGCCATAGCCGCCATGGAAGCTCCCTTGACCATGACAGAAGGCCTCTTGAAGGGTTTAGTGGGTGCCCTTGTGTTTCTGAGCTTTCTGTTGCAATTGGGTTTGAAGGGTTTGATTCCAAGTCTTTGATTTTGGGTGGTGAAAGTGGTGTTAATAAGGGTTTTAATGGGGGTTTATTTGATGGGTTAGATGAGGGAAATGATGGGTTTTCTGATTTGTTTGTTTGGGATGTTCCTACTATGGTTAGTCTTGATGATTTGATTGTTTCTACTAATAAAAGTCATAGTTTTCAAGCTATGGTGGTGCCTCCTTTGCCTAAGGTTCGTGTTTTTCCTTTCGGTTTTACCAGGTTTTATTGTTCGTGTGTGTGAGATTGATTGATTTCGGATATTGTTTAGACCTTTTTTCTTGGGTTTAAAGAGTAATGTTTTATTCAATTGCTGTTTCTCTTGATTTGTGCATGGTGATTTTATGAACTTTTTTAGTTGAATGTGTGATTAATGCATGAACTTTTTGGATTTGTTTGATGTTTGCTATATGTTGTTCATTCATACTTGTAACAGTTGTTCCATTTTTGTGAATGTAAGTATATGAGGTTATTAGGAGCATAGCCTTCCAACCCTTGGTAGGTTTGACCGAACACTGACTCCTTGATAGGTTTTGTTTGGAATTTGGTTAGCCTTCAACCAGTACGGAAGTGTACACAGACTAAACCCGTACGCGGTTTTGTTAGTTAGGCATCAATCAATTGTTTTGCTTACACCTTAATCAGACCTGTGCCCCTTGATAGGTTTTATTTGGTTTGAAGGCTAATGAAGTATGCCAATGCTTTAATTGTCTTGTTTCTAGTTATAATACGTGTGCTAATTATGTCAGGTTTGAATTTGTGTGCATTAGTTTGTGTTGTGTTTATAGATTAGGAATCTATTGGTTGGAAGACTTTATAAACCACTCATCATATCAGCAGTTGTTGTCAGAAGGTATATTAATGCTAATGTAAGGATTATGTGTGATTATTTGTTTGTTTAATCTTTACTCAAAGGAAAGCTTATGAATATACACTAGGGAATGATTTTTTGATGTATACTACAATTAATTAAAGCATTAGGAGAGATTACTATATAATGTTGAGCATCGAAGAAAAAATGGTTGAATGGGCTATGTATGAAACATATGGTTGTCCTTATGATTTAGGTTTTTCCAGTGTTGTGAAGCTCTTAATTTGATTTAAAAAATCTCTTTTTTATCTGGCAGGATAGGAATTTATCTTGTGGGCAGCACAAGCATGAGATACTTCATCAGCTTCGTGCATTAGCTAAGTTGGAGCCTGGTATAAAACAAGATGTGAACCCCCTTTATATGCACCAGTTTGCTGCTGATGAAGATGAGAAAGACTCCATGGTACAGCATAAGTTTCAAGCTCACCAACGTGATGAAGAACACTACACATTTCATGGGAATGAGGTATAACCAACTTCTGAAATTGTCATCTGCTAACAATTTCTGCTGCCATTCTATTGTATGTTATATGAAATTTCAATTATGACATTCTGTATCCTAGTCTTCTGGAGCAAGGGAGGCAGCTAATATTGGTCACTTGGTCAGTGTCTAAAGTTAGAGCTTCTTTGTTCGTCATCAACATCTATATCACCCAGCGTAGCTACATTTTCTGTCTCTGTGTTACTTCAGGATAGAAAATAAACACAGACAGACAGTTTAATCAGAAATTTTCATTTAATCCATTGAAATCCAAACCATGTATTTTCTTTTTATCAGAAATCCTCTTTTGTTACGTTACAAATCTTTTAATATTAGAGTACCAAAAATTGATTATGTTTGTGGACCTTTCAGTCTCTTTATATGAACAATCATGTCCTGGCTTTATGACTAATATCAGGGGAACCCAACTAATAGGATTTGAGACCACAACATTTCTCTCATCTCAAAGGAATAACCTTGCTCCATTGCTTTGTTATCTTCAAAGTTACTCTTAAATTTCTATATATAAATTTATAGATGCTTCACTTTTTTAGTAGTAAAAAATCATTTATTATTGTTGAAGGAGACTTTAAAATATGTAGATGCATGTTACATGGGTTTTTCATTTTGTTTGTGCAAGAGACTTTCTGAAAGGCAGATTGAGTGTCCTTTCATTATGCTACAGCTCATTGAATGTTAGATCATGAGTAACATCCCATGTACTTTAGAATTAAGTCACTGCCGCTGTGAATAATTTTGTAAATTTTTTTTATAATGTAAATATATAAAAATTGTCTTTTATAATACGAGTATAAAGATGGGTTAAGAGATGGCAACCTTTTTGGGCTTGCTTTTCATGGACATGCAGTTAAAAGAAAATTGATGTGAGAAAATTTAATTTTAATAACGGGCTATTTGCATTGTTCTACAGTTTGTCAGCTATCTCAGTTAGTTCGGAACTTCCAATTCCGTGCCAGCGGCAGGAGCAATACTTTGTCATTGTTTTTGCTGCTTTGGCATGATACGAGTTGCTAACTTACTATGTACGGGTATCTTAAATCTTGAAACTTCTCCAGTCATGCTAAAGTTAAGTACTGCATTCTGTGATCTGTCAAATATTGGAGAACATAGTCAAGGATAGGTGAAGAATGTGAGGCACCGCACTATTACCTGAATTGATGAAGGCATTATAGATGCTTCAGTGTGTTAATCTCATCTCTAATTGTTTGTAATTAATCTTCACTTTTTTATTTCGAGCACTTGATTCAACCCCATAATATAGAATTTCATTGTCTGTGATGTGATTTCAAATAGTGTTTCTTTGAAATTCTCCAATGAAAGATCAAAGATCAACTAAGCATCGGTATCAATGTGTGTCAACATTCTTAATTCGCTGCCATATTTAGTAAAAAGCTCCATATAATTAAGTACAGAAACTAAAAAAAATAATCAAATAAATTAAGCAAGCTGGCAAACATTTTTTTTTTCCTTGTCCTGAGTGATTATCTGAAATTAGCACCTGTTGATGAAATTTTGATTGATATATGATATGACAAATGTGATGGATGATCCTCTAGTTCTCATCTTATACAGGCAAGCCCATACAATTGGTGCTATGACACAGGTGAAGATGTCAATGACATATATTTTTCCTCTGCCTTGTCGGGAAGCCATAATGAAGATAGTGTTCCGAATCCGGATACACCTTCCGGCATGTGTAGCAGTGCAAATCTCATCACTAATGGATGTAATTCACAGAATCCCATCAAAAATGGATCAGTCGGAATCCCTCAGAATGTTTCCTCACGTGAAATTACTAGTGCAGATCGGGATACTGCATTATCACGATACAAAGAAAAGAAGAGGACTAGGAGGTAATATCTTAAGTATTGCCCTTTGATATCCTTGAGTCAAAATTTGTGTACGTTCAGAGAAATTTTTATGGTGGGTTAATGATTGGTTTAATCTCAATAATCTACTCTCAAGCCTTACTACTTAAAACTGAGAAAATGTGAATGTGTGAAGGAGATTTTGTCGTTGCCTCCTTGGCTAAAAAAAGTTTTGTTTTCTTCCAATTCATTCTATTAGTTTAAACAAATTTCATGGTTATCTGGAATTAAAGTGGCTATAGCTTTTCATTGATTCTCTTCACCATTTTTCAATCAAAAGTTGTATATAAACTAAATCTGGGGGGGCATATTTATGGGTAAACGATGATGGTTATGGATATAAATAGAAACATACTTTACTTCGACTACAGTTATTATATAGAAGCCTTGCTAATTGAGATTGAAATATTTGGTGAAGTTTTTGAGAACATAGAATGAGTCAAAACTGGCAAAACTGTATGTGCTAGTTATATAATTCTACGTATTAATTACTCTGTATTTTCTTGATGATCAAGTGACATGGGATAGTTGTATGTTTTATTGGGAAATGACATTTTATACGGAACGCAACCAACAGGTTTGAAAAGCATATCAGATATGAATCGAGAAAGCTTCAAGCAGAAAATAGGGTAAGAATCAAAGGTCGCTTTGCTAAGGTAGATAACCGTACGAATCAGACTTGAGACACGGTTGTGCAAGAGTCAAAGAAAGTTCATGCTCCAAGTACCTCAGGTTGTTGCCGTTGAAATAAGTCATTTTTGCACCTGGCTGCGCTACAATCGATGTTCATGTGTCCGTATAAGCTTCTGTAAACTACTGTAAAAGGTGCACAGACTTGTATATTTTATTTTTGTTTGTATTCTTTTATAAATGGTGTGTAGTGCTGTCACCAGTGAGCTGCTGAAACTTGGTTAATTATTATGAACGTGATATTTCAGCTTTCCTGCTTTGATTTGAGAGGAAGAAAAATAAATAAAATGAAAATTGGGAAAAGATGGAATTTTCAAGATTAGAATGCTTTATTTCTACTTTACTGGCACAATCTATTTCTACATCACCCTTGCGAATTGGCGCAATCTATTATACGATTTTACACAAATTGTAGTCCTGTATAGTGTATACCTGTGTTATATGCATGACTGTTATCCTGAGCTCCTGCTAGTACGTCGTACAGATGATTTACAGCTCCTGGACTCCTTGGAGTATGGTGAAATGTAAAATTCAGCTATTTTGCGTACTGAACTCTACTCCATTGGAAGCATGTGGAAGCCAGATTAGCGAGAGTATTACTGAGATTTGAATCTACCTGCAGATCAAAACCTTGATATTTGCATATTGAACTCTACCCCAAGGAAGCATTCGGAAGCCAAATTAGCAAGACTGGGATTTGAATCCACCCGCAGCTCAAAACCTTGATATATACTGAACGCTACTCCAAGGAAGCTTTCGTAAAAAAAAATTTAGCTGAACTATAGACTCTGAGATTTGAATCGACCTGCAGATGTCAATATATTGTACACTGAACTCTACATCATGGATGCATTTGGATGCCAAATTAGCGAGTCTGCGACTATATTTGTAAATCCACCCGCAGATTAAAACCTCTATAATTTGTTTCATGAATTAGTTTTTAAAAAACCATGCATTGCTCAGGTTTTTGACTTATCTGCGATTTTATACTCAAGTCACTTGGATTTGGATGAATAACTGGTACAAGTTTAACAGCCCAAGAACAAGAAATTGAGAGCTGGTTCATCAGATCAAGTATGAGCATCTGTCTAGTGTTTATTATGAGTATTTCTATTACGGAATACCTCTGTTTAATTTAAATGCAACAATCTGGTCGACGTACCAGAGTGGCGGATTCAGAATTCTCATATACGATAAGGCTGAAGATGAATGGTGATGTTGGGATTGAAGGAAGGAGGATGGAGGAGGAAGGAGGAAAAATGACAAAAATTGCTATTGTGTTGCACTTGATAATGTAAACAACACCACGTGTGTTATCTTTTGCTTCAATTTTATATATTTCTTTTTTATATTTGTAGTTTTTATGGACATTCATATTTATATATTTTCATGCACTTTTTCAATTCAATATCTTCTATCTAAATTGTCTATTTTCATGTTTTTTATCTTTAAAATCAGCTTAAATCTAATAAATAATAAATAAATAAATTACTACTTAAATACTATGAGTACAAAATTATTAAAGAAAACATATATAATAAATAGACAAAGTATAAAACACGTGCAAACACCATTTATTTATGGGAAAATTGTCAAGATTAATCCCAACTTTGCCTCATCCATTAATATTAATCTCAACTTTTGATTATTTTTTTTAATAATTCGAACTTTATATCTTGTCCGCCCATAACACTCTTAACCGGTCATCCAACCTAATATTACAGGTTATAAGACACGTGTCAACATATGATTGGTTTAAAAAAATTTAAAAATTAAAAAAACAAAAAAAAAAACCAAAACCACCCACGACAGCCCGCAGCCATTCAGAGCCACCCACTGCCAGCCAAGCCCCTTCCCCCGGAGCGCCGGTGCCGCCCAGACCCCCTTTCCTGCCTGGTGTCGGCGCTGCCCCGACCACCCTCCTCTGCTCCACCTTCACTCTCCAATTTCATCCACCCAAACTACCCCGGCTCACTTTCTCCACCGCCACAACCGCACCAAAGCAGCAGCCCCATCCATCTCTATTCTCTCGCCCACCAAAACCGGCTACCATCCACCTCTCTTCTCACGAAACATCACACAACAACCGAGCTACTACAGCCCCCACAACCACCGTACACCCCACAAACTCAATTGTTCCGCTTCCCATGCTCCACCATCCACCAAACAACCACTAGTAGAGCAGCTCCCAAAACCACCGGCTACAGTACTCCCCTGTTCCCCACAACAAACCGCAACAACACCAACTTCAACAAGCCGTCCAACTCTCCTCTTCAACCAGCAAAATTCGCGACGGGGTTAGGGTTTAGGGTTGGGGGATCGCGACGGCCGGGGAAGGAAGGGCTTGGATTGTGCGGATCGAAGAGGGAGGGTGCTGTCGTCGCCGGGAGATATCGCCGATGGGTTGCCGCAGTCAGGGGGAGAGGGAGGTGGTTGTGCAGTAGGGGTGAAGGTGGTTTTTTTTTATTGTTGTCCAATAACATGTTGACATGTGTATTTTAAACTTAAAAAAAAATGGTTACATGCTCAACAAGTCATCGGTCACCTGAGGGTGTTATGAGCGGAAGGGGTATAAATGTTCGGATTAATAAAAAATAATTTAAAGGTGGAATTAATATTGGCGGATGAGGCAAACTTGGGATTAATCATGACAAATTTTCCTTTATTCTTTTAATTAACATTAAAGAGTTAATTAGTTGTTATTGATGATAAATAAATGGACATGTAATTATAATGAAAGTAGTGTTATGCTTTGACCAACACATAGGCGAATCAATTGACTTTAATATAAAAAGTTACAAGTGGGGTAATTAAAATATTAAAAAAGTATAAGAAAAGATAGTGAAATTAATATTTTATTGAAAAGAGTGGTAGGTTTGAGTGGGGATTATTGAAAGAGAAAGTTAATATTAAAATGAAAAGTTTGTCAAAAATAGAAGTGTAACACTTAAAATATGTCCGTATTTGATAAAAGTAACACTTTAAATAATTAAGAGTAGATTCGTCTTGTAAATCTATCAAAGTGTTATTAACCCGTAAAATCATGGTGGATACAGCTATAATTAAGGACATGCAAGTGCACATCCCTCATTTATAATTTGATGCAACTAGATAATATTAAAGACACTCTAGCTTAGTGGCAATTGGTGATGTTAGCATAAAGTCAATATCCTTGGGAATTCTTGTAAATGTATAAATGTATAATCATATGTTTACTTTGAAATTTCTTTTTGATCCCTACTTTTCGCTCAATTCATGATTAAAATGTAAAAAAATTTCATTGTGCTTATCGCATGGGAGTAGCCATGAATTAAAAGCTAACGGAGCCAAGACTATTATATTTTTAAGGGCTAAAATACTTTTATGGTAGCATTGATAATAAAAAGAATCCTATACAAAATTCAAAGTTCATCATTTTATTTATTATTTTTTTTAACAAAGTTTATCGATTTACCTTGGAATTAGTGTTATATACTTGGGTGTACGGTACACCCAGGGTATAACCGTCATTTTACTCGTTTTTTATTGCATGATAACTGGGTTTCATACTTTACTCGTTTTTTTTATTCTTCTTCTATAATTTCTATCTCTTCCTTTCTTCCTTCTCTCTCTTTCGATCTTCAATTTCCAGAATTTTTTTATCTACATTTTTAGTCGAATTTCGTTTACTGTCTTCAAATTGCGGAGTTCTTTATCTACATTTTTCATATTTTCCTTCAAATTGCGTCTAGTTGTCACAATGGAGGAATCTAGGTAAATTTTATTTGTTTTTTTTTCAATTTTTATTTGTGTTTTTGGTTACATTATGATTAATTTCATGCATTTTTGTTCAATTCTACTTCGAATTAAGTTTCATGGACTTTCGTGTGATTAATTATACTTCATATAAACTTTGTGCTCAATTTTTTCAGAATTTTTTGCTCATTTAAAATTCGTATTAAATTTTGTGCTCAATTTTTATTTTACTCAGTTTTGTATGGAGTATTAATTATTCTTCTTAAGTTTCATATATTTTTGTTTCAATTTCTGTTTTATTTTCATTAATTTGTCCTTCATTGTGTTCAATTTCTGTTTAAATTTCATTAATATGTCATTAATTGCTCTTTTTGCTCATTTTATTGGTGTAATTTTTTTTCTTTTATGTGTGATGAATTGCTCATGTTGCTCAATTTTTTGTACAATTTCTATTTTATGTTTGCTCATTTTTCATATGTTTGTTCATTTTATGATTTTTTTGCTCATTTTGTGTTTTTTTGCTCATTTATATTTTTGTTCTCATTTGCATGGTATATTTTTGCTCATTTTTTTTGTTTGTGAGAGTGAGGTGGAGACAATTTCACATGCTCTATTTGACTGTACTGCAATCAGGCATATCTGGTACAATTATAAACATGCTACAGTTATTTGTGAGTTCCGAATGCAGGCTTCTTTTGCTGAAAGTGTGCTATGGATTGCTCATTTATATTGTTGTTCATTTTATTTTTGTTCTCATTTATATGTTTGCTCATTTTATTTCTGATAATGATTATGTGTACTCATTGTATAATAGTCCGCGCTTTTGTGTAATAGAAATGAATAACATTGGTGGTATACTAGTGCTTTTGCCTAATATACTAGTACTTTTGTACTAGAAGTGATTATTTGCTTATTTGTATTGCAGTAAAGCTCCTGATGTTAATGATTCTGCGCAACAAGTTCAGCCATAATGTTCCGATAATCAGACTTTTAAAGTAGAATATAAGTTGAAGAGGTTTAAAACGTTAGCTTTGAGGGATAAAGGGAAAATATTTTGAACAAAAAAGTAGAAATAAAGAAGGTTGTTAGTAAAGGTAAACAGAAGGTTGTTGGTAAAGGTAAAGAGAAGGCTAAATCTGATGAATTTCCTAAGAACATTAAAGCTGAAAAGTTTTGTTTTTTGTTTTTTTATTCTTTGCGAAGTAGAATGTCTCCTCAGTCTGTGGTAAGTGTTGTAGAGGATTGTTTTGACACTCAAATCTATTAGGCAAATGAGTTTCGGGTCGTTAGAGTATTTAAAGGTGACCTAATTGCCTCTTCACTTGGGTTTGTGGCTGGTGCAACATTTTGACGCCAAAACTTCCAGTTTGTGAATACCAGATTGTGAGTCGTTGCGTATTACTGAGCAACATGTGCACGAAGTGTTTGGGTTTCCTCTTTGTGTATCCACGTTAATGTCAGGTGAATGAATTAATTTCAGTTAATTTCAGCTAACTCAATACGTTAATGAATTAATTACAACTTTGAGCTCAGTACATTCACTTTGTTTTATTTTCAGTTAGTTTGCTCATTTCTTTAAGCAAGCGT